CTTATATGGGCACGGAGGCCGCCCGCTTATCGAGTGGGCCAGCCTCCTGTCGGGAGAGCGAGGATGGACACCTGTCCCCTAGGATGAGGGGTACTGACCCGGCTCCACTCCACACCAGTGGGCACCTACCACCTGTCCTTGGTGAGGAAGCGAGAGGGGCCCCCCTCCCCTCTCTGCCGGTCAAGTCCCTCCCCTTCCTTTCCCTCCGATGGGGGACCCAAACACACCTTGGTCTCCCCACTGCTGTCGGACTCAGACACCTGGTAGGTGAGGTCTGTCTCCTGAAAGCCCGTGGCACTCATCCTCTGGTCGGTGGTGGGGTCTGAGCGGGGCGGGGAGTCTGGCGAGTTGAGGCAGGTCTGAATCAGTGCCTTGCCAGTCTCACTGGTGATCATGGGCTGCAGCTTTCGAGTGGCAAAGGTATAGACATGGCCCGTCTCGCTGGCCACCAGCAACAGCACCTGTGTCCCTGTCAGCGTGGACAGCTCATAGGCCTGGGGAGAATGGGGAGGAGATGGGGAGGTCAGCAGACTTCTCTCTACCTGCCTGGGAAGCAGGAGAGAGGGCGGTATACGGGGATATCAAGCCCCACTCCATCATGACCTTCCTCTCCAGAGGTGGTCCTACCAGCATGTCTGAAGGTGAACCGGAGCAGGAAAATGCCATGCCCCTTCCCTGAGGGGCAGCCCTGCCCACCTGCACACAGTTCCAACCCCCTCTTGACAGAACATACAACCCCAGCGGACACACAGGGGCCCAAGGAGCTGCCCCTCACCACAGCTTGGTGCCCGGCCTCACAGAGAGACGGCTCCCACCCCCTCCTCACTGTCACAAGGACAAGGACGACCTCGCTGCTGTACTAGAAGTCACTACTGTCCAGACCCACATAAGACATCAGGGCTGATGTGTGGCGTTTGGGAGCCACCTAAACTCTAAAATGCCCCATGTTTCTTCCCAGAAACGGCACAGGCACTAACCTGTTGCCGTTTGTCTTGTGCCCTGTAATACTGTGTGCGCTACCCATTTTCTTCCTTTGTCTTCATACAGCAGTGTCCGAACTGATGGGAGGTGGGGGCTAGTTCAGCAGCTACAACCCCGCCATGAGCCCAGAACGGGATGGTCCCACGGATGGTCTCCTCACAGCCAACAAGGTCCACAAACCCACCTTGGAAGCAGCTCTGACTTTTGTAGGGGACAAACCGAAACCCCAGCCAGTTTTTCCAGAATTCTAGCTTCTTGTTTCCCTCCCAGTTCTCCTGCTTCCACCCTGTCCCCTATCTCCTACACCCCAAGACGACTCCTTTCCTCGCCCCTTTTCACGGGGTAATCTGACAGAAAAGGATTTGCTAGGTGCATCTGCAAACCTCCCCGCCATCCCACCAAACTCCATGCACAGGTTCTCCCCAGGGCTGGGCATCCCACTTGTCTGAGAGGCAGAGGACTCTGAAGCCTGTCTCCGGGGGTGTGCAGGCCTCCGGGGGTGTGCAGGCCTCCGGGGAGGCATTCAGGACACACGGCCATGCAGGACCTGGCTCGGCCCCTGCGGGTCAGGGCGGCATCCGTCCTCCTGCCCTGCTCCCTCACCTGGAGCCCGGAGCCCATTCCGTCATCAGCATCGCCTGTCCTTCCGGCTAGCGCTACCTCGGAGGTGCCCACCCTCCTCCCACATCTGCTCCCTCATTGTGACACCGCTTCCAGCCTCCTCACCTCCATACCTGCTCCTCTGCTCCCTGATTTGGGGGAGCCCTTCCCCAACACCAGTGCAACGGACCTACTATGGATCCCTGGGTTTCCCAATCCCACGCCTCGCCCCTTAGCTCGGCAAGGGCCCGTCACTCCCACCTCGGCGCCTCTCCCCGCTCCTCCGGACGTTCGCAGCGACTCCCCTCTCCCCACATTTCCCTGGCGGCCCCTCCCCTTGCACTGTCCCGGGGTGAGAGCCATCTCCTCCCACACGCCTCCCGCGGACTCGCCGCC